ACATAAATAAATGACATAAAGTAAAGACATGAATGTAAATAACGGAAAATAAATGACGGAAAGTAAAGACGAAAAATAAATACGGAAAGTAAATGACAATAAAGAAATAAATAAAAGACGAAATGTAAATAACAATAATTAAAAGCTTGTAAATACTAATAATAAGATGAGAGAGTTTTTGGAAGTACAAAATGGAACCACAATCGTCCAGGAGGTGTATGGAAAAGAGAGGACAAAGGCCTTCTTTTATACCCACCAAATGAAGAAAAGACAAAAATAAAAGGAAGTACAAAGTACAAGTGAGAAGACTAGAAAAAGGAGATATCATCTCCATCAAAACAAGTCAACCAAAAAGTCTTCTCCACATCATTTCACCAACTGTTAAGGGTCCAAAACGAGGGCTTCTTCAGCTCAGACCTCCATCCAAGACAATGGCTTAACCAATAAGTACTTCTTCAAAAAGCCAAAATACAGTCGGGCAATGCTGTTGGAATGCTGCAGCATTACAGTGCAGTGTAATAAGTCAAAAGATGTTATCTACTCCAACTTGTTGTAAAAACAGATTCATCATCACAATTAGCTCCAAACATAACAAATGGAAAATAAAGAAGTAAAAATGACTCAAGGTTGGGATAAACTATGAAAATCTTCCTATTAAACATAAGAAATAGGTACTTTAAGCATATAATAAACCATGCTTATCATACCCCCAAACTTAAAGTGTTGCTTGTCCCCAAGCAACCAAATGACAACAAAAAATGACTCAATATAATAAGGTATACAAGATTAAGGCATTAAGTGCACACATAAAGCATCGCATATCATTTATGAACATCATAGTCTTTCATAAATTTTTAGCAAATCATTCATAGCCTACTTTTCATGTATGAACCATATGCTAGCACTAGTCTTTTCTCTAATGAACTCAACACACCTCTCCTTGAAAGGGTCAATAGGACTTGTTTAAGGCTCTCYTCTCTTTGGCTATTTTCTTTTCTCACTTTGCCTTTTTCACTTATGCTTCATCATTCAATTTTTTTAAATTTTTTTTGGCACTATGTGCTCTTTATAAAGCATGCACATTGCCCCTATGGGACATTTTTGTGCTAATAAAACAGATTCCACAAAGGCCTTAGAGCTTTGCTCTTTTGGTTTGGAATTTTGGCCTTTGTGGTATATCCTCCCCCAAACTTGGACTTTTGACAATGCCCTCATTGGCTATGTTGGTGGAAAGTGTATAAGGCCACAAGGGGCTTCTTTGAGAGTTAAATGAAGAATGGCCTAAATCATACCCAAATGTGTATTGGTGTGTGAGTAAAGTTTGGTTCAAGAAAAGACATATGCTAGTTCTAACAAGAACACTATTTAGTAGATGAATGGCTATTTACCCTCAAATTTATTTAGGCTATGATATCAAGAACTATAAGCAATGATCATGTAATCAAGTATGAAAATAAAGCTAAAAATTAAGAAAACTATCCCAAGACTCAAATAAAAATGAAAGTTGGAAGCTAAAGATGAATGAATGAACCTGTCCTACTCCAAGGGAGTAGGCTGTGTGGCATGCGGTTCCATGGCTGCATCCATGGCTGCATCTTTGAGTTGTTGGTTCTTCTTCTTCAACCTCTTGTTCTCTTCTTTGAGGCTCTTCATCCTCTTCTCCATTTTCTTCACCTTCATGCTCACCATCTTCTCCATTTTCTACTTCATTTCTTTCATCTCTTTCGCTCATTGATGGTGAGGAACTATTATTACTAAGTTCCACCATCTCAGGTTCTGCATTTGGAGCCTTTACAGCCGCTCCTCGTCGGTTACTTCTTCGCACAGGTACATTCGTCAGTGGTGGGTCTCGAACAGCCGGCCTTTTAACTCTTGCCATGGTTGTGATGGAAAAGATGAAAGATGAAAATGAGGGAGGAGAAATGGTGGAAAATAGTAAGTGACCAAGGGTGATGGAGGTTGGCTTGGGACGGTGATGGGAGTTGGTTTATAGAGTGATGGAGGGAGTGATGGAGGGAAAAATGGGGGTGATTGAAAAGGTGGGTTAAGAAAAGGTGGTAGTTTTAATGATGGTTTCTTAGGAGTACTTAGTGGGTTTAAGAGGTTACCAGCCGGCGGTTTTGTAAAAGAGGTACAAGGTCATTAAAACAAAAGCCTCCTCATTAATTGAGATAAAACCCTCCAAACCCAACCTATCATCTTGTGACCATTTTTACTCTTTGACTGAAAAGTGAGTGATGATGGTGTAAGAGGGTGTAAGAGGTTGTGCAAGGTACCATGTACCTTCTTGTACTATCTTGTACTATCATAAGACCTACACCTTGGTTTAATCCTTAACCCATCTTTCCTCCTTTCTTTCTTTTTCAAAAACCAGCGCCAAATTTCGCCAACACCTTAAAAACAATCTTTTTCAAGAAAAGTTTTAACAATAAAAGCTCAACCCACTTTTTCCAGTTCACACATAGCTGCAGGTCTATAATGCTACAGCATTATGAGCTGTTCACCAAACTTTTATTCAAAAACACACCAAACTATGAAAACTTTAAAACACAACCAACCTATGAATTTGAAATTTATTTACAAACAAAGGTGGACTTTTAAGAAGTCCAAGTGGGATCTTTCAGATTTCAACAGGGAGCAGCACAACTCTCAGAATGATGTTTTGAGACTGTTGCCGGATCATGGTACGCTTTTACCCTTTGGCCATTAACCTTGAAAATAGAATTATCTTCCGGGTTTACCAAATCCACTGCTCCATAAGGATAAACTTTAGAAATAAGAAAAGGCCCAGACCATCTAGACTTAAGTTTTCCAGGGAATAACTTTAGTCTAGAATTAAACAAAAGCACATGTTGGCCTTCTCTTAATTCTCTGTGTTGGATTTTACTGTCATGCCATTTCTTTGTCTTTTCCTTATAAAGTTTGGCATTCTCATAAGACAACAATCTATGTTCATCCAACTCACAGAGTTGTAACATCCTTTTCTTTCCAGCATCATTGAAAGACATATTGAGCTCTTTGATTGCCCAATATGCTTTGTGCTCTAGTTCTAAAGGCAGATGGCAGGCTTTTCCATAGACTAGCTTGTATGGGGACATACCAATTGGTGTTTTTGGTTGGTCTATCATGAGGATTCTCTTATCTGGGAAGGTCTCTATAATGTCACCTCCTCCTATCTCAGGTTTCTCTAACCTAGATAATTGGTCTGCTATCTAATTCTCCACACCCTTCCTAACACGTATTTCCAAAAGTTCAAAGGCTGACACCTCTACTGGCATAGAATGATTGCCTATTGCCTCTATTTCCTCAACAATTTCTTCTTCTAATTCCTCTACACTCTCTTCTTCCAACTTAAGATTTTCATGAATTCCTTCTTCAACAGCCTCTTCTTCTATTTCAGTTATGCCCGAACACTCTTCCAGATAATCAGGATATTTTAAGGAGTTGAAGACATTAAATGTGACCTTTTGATCTTGAAGCCTCATGGTCAACTCTCCTTTCTGGACATCTATCAAAGTTCTTCCGGTGGCTAAGAAAGGTCTTCCTAAAATAATCGGAATGTCCTTATCAGCCTCAAAGTCTAATATGATAAAATCTGTCAGAAATATGAACTTATCAACCTGTACTAACACATATTCTATCTTTCCTTTGGGGTATGCAATGGACTTATTTGCTAGCTGAAGTGTAACTATGGTAGGTCTAGCCTCTCCTATGCCTAAGGTGTTGAAAACAGACAAGGGAATAAGGTTAGTACTAGCTCCTAAGTCACATAAGGCTTTCCATATCTCCTTCCCACCTATTGAACAAGGAATGGTAAAACTCCCTGGATCTTTAAGCTTAGGGGATATGCTATTGGTCAAAAGTGCACTACATCCTTCGGAAAGAGCTACAGTCTCATACTCAGTCAACTTCTTCTTCTTGCTTAAGATGTCMTTCAGAAACTTAGCATAACTAGGCATTTGCTCAATTGCCTCAACAAGGGGTATGTTGATGTACAATTCTTTGAACACATCCAAGAACTTCTTAAAATGCAATTCCTCTTTCTGATTCCTYAACCTTTGGGGGTAAGGAACATAAGGAGGGACTGGTTTTATCACATTCTTGCTTGAATGTGTTAAGCAAGATGGGTCTTGAATGCCTTGAGTCTTTGTGGTGCACTTTGGAGGTTCAGATGGAGTCTTAGCATCAAGCTTAGGGGTCTCTAAAACCTCAGTCCCTTCTGATTTTTTTAAAACATCATCTGAAAATAGTAAGGGATAGTCTGATCCAGGGGGGACAGAAGTGGTGGTCTCAGATGCTTGCTTCTCTAAAAGTTGGACCAGTCTTTCTTTGGCAGGGATCAATGTTATAGCATCAGTTTTTGACAAAATTGGTTTACGATCTTTTTGCATGGCCTCTGTCAATTCCTTCCCACTTCTCAAGGTCACTTCTTTCACATGTTCCTTTCCTAAGGCTCTCGGGACTTCTGTGTTATTAGGCAAAGTACCAAGGACTCTATTGGTCTGATTAAGTGCAAGTTGACTGACTTGGGTTTCCAGATTTCTGATAGCAGCACTTTGTTGATTAAAAAGATATTGATTTTGAGAGTTTTGTTGGGTTATCAAAGCTTGATTTTGAGCTTGAGCATGCGTAAATAACCCTTTTATCATTGCTTCCAAAGAAGATGATAAATCAGCCTGTGGAGGTGGCTTGTTTTGAAAAGGTGGTTGGGAATTCTGAAAACTTTGTTGGTGAGAGTTAGAACTGTTTCCATGATGTTGAGGTTGGAAATTAGAAGTTCCTTGTTGTTTAGGTGCGGGTGGATTTATACATGGACTGGTCCAAGAAAAATTCGGGTGTTGTTTCCAACTTGCATTGTAATTGTTGGTATTATGAACAAAGTTTATGGATTCAGAATTATGAGGACAATGTTCATACGAGTGTTCCCCACCACAGCACACACATTGCACAGAGAGGACTGTTGGAACAGATGTGTTAGCAGCTTGTTGTACTCCTTGACCAAAAGTTAAATTTTTCAATAAATTGGTCATGGAGGTGAGCTGAGCTGTTAATGCAGTATATGCATCCACCTCATGTATTCCGACAGTCTTTTTCTGTGGCTGGGCACGTGGGTCAGCCCAATGCCCATTGTTTGCTGATATCTTTTCTAGGATCTCATATCCCTCATTATAGGTACTGGCTGTAAAGGCTCMSCYTGCAGTCGCRTCGARYATTTGTTTTGCCATGGGACTTAACCCATTGTAAAACGTCTCAAGTTGAATACAGTACAGAATGCCATGGTGTGGGCATTTCCTCAACAGCTCTTTAAACCTCTCCCACGCGTCAGGAACAACTTCATCATCCAGTTGTTTAAAAAGACAGATTTCGTTTCTGGATTTGGCGTTCCTTGTCGGTAGGAAATATTTTCGCAAAAATTTCTCCGCCATGTTACCCCATGACGGCACAGATCCTGGTGTTAAAGAGTTAAACYATGCTTTTGYCYGATCCCGTAATGAAAATGGAAATAAGGTAAGTCTGAGAGCGTCATTTGACACTCCTGGGATCAGGAAGGCATCTGTGATTTCCATAAAAGACTTTAGATGAGAATGGGGGTCTTCTGAGGGCAGTCCAACAAATTGACCATTAGTCTGTAACATATGAAACATTATCGGTTTTAGCTCAAAATGGAGAGCTGTCATGTGTGGTCTAACTATCTCAGAATCTAATTGCTCAAAGTATGGGATAGCATAATCCATGATCCGTCCATTTTTTGAATTTGCCAGATTAATGATATTTGGAGTTTATGCCCTTTGTTGCTCAGTCGGGTCAGACTCAGTGTCCAAATTATTCTCATTCTCATGATGTGGGTTTCCTTGATGAAAATTCGGAAAAGGTGGTATTTGCCCAAAAATTGGCGGTTGGTTTTCCAAACATGGTGCTTCCGGAATATTGGGAGCAGGTAACTCCATGTTGGGAGGGAGTAGAGCCAGAAATGCTCTCTGAGCCCTCCTTCTATGGTGAAACGTTCTCTCAATGTCTGGATCAAATTCGAAAAAAATCCCCGCGATGTGTTCTTCGCATACACCACTTTTCAAAAACGGGTACAAGAAAAATCAAATCTTTTACATTTCTCAAAAGAAAACTTTAAGCTTGCCAGTCCCCGGCAGCGGCGCCAAAAACTTGGTCGGTCAAATYCTTTACCTTTAGACTTAATGAAATTGGGTCACAAAGCAAGTATACAATACGGCCCAACGTCGTCTTTCCAAGTAATAAAGTGGTACAAGTACCGGAATATCGTCCACAGGGATTGGAGCAAAAGTTAAATAAGAGTCCAATAAAAGAAAAGATTTCAGAAGACGAAAACGAAGACTTTAGTTTGATTTCGAGTTAACACAAGTAATATAACAGAATAATAAAGCGGAATAATAAAGCATAGTAATAAAGAAGAATAGTAAAGGTGAATAATAAAGGTAGCATGGGTGTAAGATTTGGGGTGAAACGTAAACACGAAATCCAGCAGACAAAGCTGTAGAAAGACCGGTCCCACCATTTATCTTGAAGGTATTCCTCTCGGACTTCACCTTTGCATTATATTATAGCTTTGCACCCATATCTCTATGTGGTGTTCGGACCAGGGGATAGTGACAAAATGGTGTCTTCAAGATATATGGCTAAACAAATCTCTTTGTTAAAAATCACTCTTTCGAGCTGATTCCCATATCATTCAAGTTGGCGTGTTCTTGATAGTTCATCTCTGAATCTATCACACTTTGACACTTTTAGAGAGTGACCAACCCGTCGGGAGT